AGGTCTAATGTAATGTTAATAATACTATGCTACACTGATCATCAAATTAAAAGATCCTTGGAAAAGTTTATTAAAGTGAGAGTGACAATTTGCCATGTTTAACTATTCCAAAAACTAAGATAATTTCCGTTTTTATACAAGCATCGAATTGTGAAATCCACTTTATGACGTGCAGGCACAAAAGAGATGTCTGGCAAACAATGCTCCGTCGCTAATGATATAATTCCACTGATTAGCATCGCATGAAGAATATAACTCGTCCGAGAGAAGCATAACAAAAGACGCAACTAAGGTGGAACTGTTACACAGTAGCGGGTGTGCAAGGAGCTTAGTCTACAACCGCGCAAAAAATAACTCCATTAGATAGATGATTTATTAGTCCTTTAAAATCATACACAATACCAGGGCGAAACACTATTTTATGCTGAATGGTCCAACAATCCACAGCTAGATTTGCGGATAGTACTTTTGAAAGAAGCCAGTGATGGTATTTGCTGGTATATTGTATTAAGAAAATTCTGCAGCAGTACTGTTACTCCAAACGATGATTTGCTATTGAGTAAATGGGACCCACACTCGGCCAAAAGCAGGCACTTAGTAGAGGAGGAAAGCTATCTGATTCAGCAGTACTCGACTTGCGACAGTTCAGCAACAAAGGTGTTGGATCTGAACATGACACAGTTTTCCGCTCTGGAGTCTGTAAATTCAAATAGCAACCACCATTTTTGCAGCCTATTCCTGCCGAGATACACATTCTACATCACAGTACATTTTCATACAGGAGGTCAAGAAGACATAACTCAATGAGTATTATTTACTTTAACGTCCGAAAAGCTCACGAACACTCCGAGAACTTGACATGCACGCATTTCTTTGGAAAGGAGGTTTAAAGAAAATATTAAGGATACCTGAAAAGCAATTTTTCGGTGCCCCAAATATGACTAGAGAGGTCATTTGGAGGTCAATGACGTAAATTCAAATAGCAGCTATTATTTTTGACAGCAGATTTGCGTCAAGCTCAAAACACTACATCAGAAGGTAGTTTTCTGGTGTAGAACCCCGACACAAACACGAATCTGCTGGCAAAAATGTTGGCGGCTACTTCACAAACTTGACATCCAAGTGACCTCTGATCTCATTGCCTAGATCATAGATGAGGTCATCCACAAATTGCTTTACGGATATCATAAAACTGTTCTTGAGATCATCGCCTAGCGTTTTTTTGATATGCTGAAACTTTTCTTAGAACCTTTTGCCTTGAGGTATTCCCAAACTCGCAGACCAGCGCAAGTGAAATGACCCGTTGTCCATCTTCCTCGAGTCTTGCTATGCGAATAAGCTCCATACGTCAATATCGCCGTATCTACACCATGCTGATTGGGATTAGAGACTTTATTTATTATGGGAAAGTTTTGTAAATAACTGTTGGATGTTCTTTCGAACAGTTAAAGACACGAGGCTATATATTAGAGATAAACGACATACCAGGGATCCAGAGCTACATAATAATAATCGTTTCCTTCCTAAGTAGTCAGGATTGCTAATATTTACGCCACCTCGGTTTCCCTTTTTAAAGTACAGAATGACAACGTGTATAGAAAATGCCTCCGAGGTGGCCAACACATCAGTAAAATTAATTTATATTCCCATATTTATAAGGCACGTTCAAAAAATTGATTAAGGTCGAGCTCTCTCTACTTAGCGTTCCTTTGGTACATTTTCAGACCAAGATATTGCAAAATAGATGCCATTTAGCTGTTAATGTGAATAATGTAGTAAAATCAGCAGTCGAAACTAATTGATCGTCTCAAGATCTACATTCAATTATTTCTTGTCATTAATACTTTAGGGCGACGTGAAGTTTCAAGTAACTCAAAATAATTGAATTCGTCCTATTCACGATCAATGAAAACGTTATATTCGAAGGCTAAGCAACACCTAGTTTCGAAAAGATGAGAGAACAGCGCGGTAGATGAAAGGGTATAACGACGGATGAAGCTTGAAAGCTTTATTAGCTGCTTTTGCAATATACCCTAATTGAGCATAACTTAGCGCCACGGAGTGTCGCTTAAATAAGACGCAGCAGCTGAAGAAGAGGTCCTTCAGAGGGTTACCGAGGAACCATCAAGTAGCACACGTCACATTGCTGAGGACATGAATACGAGTAACGCTTCCACCTGGCGGGTGCTACACACACGAGCAACTACTTTATCCGTACCACTTCCAGAAAGTTCAAGGATTGACTGCAGCCGATTATCATCCTAGAGTTCAATTTTTTCAATGGCTTTTTCATCAAATCGCTGCACAACCAAATTTGTTACGCTATGTTTTATGGACCGATCAAGCCTCTTTCACAAGAGATGGTATTTTTAATAGTAGGAATATCCACTTTTGGTACAAAGAAAATCCCCATGCAATTTTTCCTAGAAAACATTAGCAACGTTGGTCTGTCAACGTATGGGCAGGCATTGTTGATGATTATTTGATTGGGCCATACCTTCTACCGGAACGGTTAACAGGACCTATTTACCGGCATTCCTTAGAGGAAGTTCTTCCAGAACTTCTTGAAAATTTTGCATTGTACGTTCGATAGCACCTTTGGATTGCTAGAGGTGGAGCAGTTTCTTGGCCTCCTAGGTCATCCGATTTAACGTCGCTAGATTTTTTCCTGTGGGGACATATAAAGTCTTTGGTTTACGAAACTACAGTAGAAACAGAGCAAGACTGAATTGGACGTATTACAGCAGCATTTGAAATCATTCAAAACGAGTATCAAATTTTTAGTCAAGTCCGCCGATATGATGTGCGACGTTTAAATCGGTGTATTCAGGTTGGAGGAAGACATTTTGAACAATTGTTGTGATGACATCATGTACAAAAGTCAAAAATTAAATGTGTTAAATCCTATTTAGGCAACTCATCGTCTATCTAAATTTTACCGCGTCTTAGGGCCGTAGTGACGTAGTGACACTTTTCCGGATATGGGTCCCTATACCCAAATGTTTTCTGATGTTACACTGAATAACCCCTAGAAGTTTGATCCTTTAGTTCTGAAACACCCTGTATTTTCCAGTCCAATATATAACGCAGCCTCCGAAGCGAAATGCTGGAAAGCTATGTATCAGGGTGCCACGCAGTTCTGAAACGATCACTAGTGGTTATCTAAGAACCCTTTGTGTTATTGTGAAGTGGAAGAGAAATTGAGAGAAAACGTTTAAGAAGCCTAATAATGGCTCCAACCGAGCAATAACTTGGTGCAATATTTGGCTATAAACGTGACATAAATAGCCCAGGTTTGACAATATTGTTTGTAGCGTGTAGACATACACTATTTAGAATTTGTTATCAGAAAGGCTACAAAATCTAGTAGTGACATTATAATTTATTGCGGCAGTTTACTTACAATACATTGAGTTTACCTAATAGTCAGAGTCAATAAAAGACATAATAATGTAAGAATGAAAAGTAATAAAAATCATAGTAGAGAATTTTTAGGTTAAAATGGTCGGGGGGTCGCGGAGCTTTTATTATAATCGTGTGAGGCGCCCAAATTGTCGTGATGATCCATGTATGGATAAATTTAATGCTGAATGAAAGTCACAATTCTGCTTGAGTAACATTGCGAACCCGCCACTGTTAACAATTACTGACAAACACTTTCACTAGCTCACTGGATTATAACAAAAGCTATATATAACACCCCGCCAACTTGTCGAGTGTCAAGTTCAATTCCGCAAAATGCTTGGGGCAAGCACCGTGCTTCTTTTGTTATCCGTTCAAGGTAAGAGCCAATGGCAGCTTAAGGGTTAAGTATCAGATCCGTGGCGGTCTGACAGAGTGACAAGTTGGTGATGAAGGTGTCGTGTGTCTGGTGAGAATTTAGTGCGAGCTTTCTGTCGCTTGAAGTAGTTGTTTAACTGAGTGAGACTACTTGGAGGCAAGATAAGTGTTGTCTACAAAATGTAGGAAAACGTTCCTTACATTGTGGAGTTTCGTCAACATCTTTTGTAAAGTGAGATTACTAATGATATTGGAACTTGTGCTGTGGTATTTCTAGTGATGGCGGGGTTTCCATTTTTCTCTGCCAAGAAGCAAATTCCTGGCCAGAGCGATGTCGCCATTTATTCAGATCATCGATTTCTCAACAGTGTTTGCTGAGGCAGCCTATTTTGGTGCTGTCCGTATTTTTTAATATTCAGAGGAAAAATAAATCTGAATGTACATATTCTTCCAGTGTTTGAGTTCAGTTATCATTACAATACTGTCTGAACTAGGTGAAGTAGCATTTAAATTCAGTTTTTAAAATTATCTACTTATAGAATTAGGATGGCTCTGTCACCCACATTGTAGGAGGTAATTTGTTACTATGTGATACGACACTTGAGAATCTTGGAGTTCTTTTCTAGCTTTTATTAGCTTCTTTATACCTGAGCTTTCACGAAGCCCTAATACTTAACAGATGCCTACCTCAAGCATAACCCCGAACGTTTCAAGAAAAATAAAGGGACCTACTGTTACCACTTATATTGTAATTTAAGTTAGAATCCAAAATACCTTCATCCTGCACAGATTGTAATTAAAGTGAAAGAACCTGACCTGGTGATTGTTTCTTGAATACAAAATACAGCACTAAAAATATCTAGGTCAAACATCTTATGCAAATTTTAAAACACATCATAAACAAACGTCCAAAACCTGGCTTCTCCAAATCAAAGGATAGGTAGACCGCAAGTCTGAAAGCATTACATGGAAGGCATTAAAATTGAGCTAAGATTCCCTTACTTAGCCACCGCTGTAGCTCTACTCCACAACCTGGACCCTCTCAACGATAATACACTTGCCTATGAAACAAATGACGACATTGCAGATGTGTTAATATCACAATCTGATTTCGTGTATGCAGATTTATCAGTGGTCGTGATCATTGGTGTGTATATCGTTTTTCAACATTAAAATGAACTTATTTATGATTCAGGCTGAACTTGTGCACATATACATCCATATAGTCTAAGAGCCGGTGATACCAAATCCTGGAGTATCTGTTATGAAAAAGCTTTTCCACGCACAAGTGCACCGGGTGCTGTGGTATCCATACAATTTGACAGGTGGGTTGACATGTACTTTTTTTTGAGGTGGCGGTGAAAACGGGCCTAACCATATCGAAGCATGGCGGGTTGGATGACACCTTCTCCCGCTTTTCAGGTCAGGTTACCCAATGCGTCTAATCCCCCGACACGTGTACCCACGTGCTAGGTCAGAAAAAGCAAGCAAAAACGAAAGATTACTAATTTTTCTTGCAAACTGCGATGGATTAGGAGAGGATTGACAGCCGATCGTTTTTTAAAATAAAATATACTGATCACCGCGTTTCGACTCACTCCTGCGAGATAGGGAACCATTCCCCCATGCCAGAAGAACCAAAAGCAAGCAAAAACATATAATCAATTTTTCTTGCATGCTGCAGAGATGCTGTTTGCAGAAAGTTTGATGCCGATTGTTTATTTATATGCCTACCGCGTTCGCGAGACTGGGGATCGCAGCCCATATGTCAGAAGGTCAAAACACGCAAAAACAAAATATAATCCATTTTTCTTGCATACTGCGCAGGGCTGCCAGAAACGTGGCAGCCGAATGTTCATTAAAAATAGTATTTTGCAAAACTGGAGTCACCATTTTTTGGGAGACATTGTCCAATTAAAAATAATAAAGGCAATGACAATATCTGCAAGGAACATAACACTAATTGCGCTTTCAGCAATTGTGAATAAACAATTGTCGATGATCGTTGTGTAAGTACGGCTTTCAGTGCATTTCACATAATGAGCCTTTAGGCTTGATTGTGAGTCGTTGCAAATAATTTCCTCATTTGTATATTTATTTATTGAGAATATGGTTGAGTATCGAGTTCGCATCTGGATGCTTTTGGACTTGGTCTATATGTGTATAAAATAAGTACCTGATCATGCTTGCTTATATTCTAGTGAGCTGCAGAAAAAGCAAAATGCTATTCCAAATGTTGGAGAAGTGAAGATCTCACAAAATGGCATATGTTGTCGCTTAGAGTAATAAGTCTCAATGCTCAGAAAGGAGGTCCTGAATAAAACTAGGGATTGCATAAAAGAAAATGAGCTTTCGATACCAGGTATCCTCCTAGAATTCATGATAAGAGAATATCAAAATAAGTCTTACTTTAGGTTGAAATATGCACCGTGTGAAATCACCACTAACAGAAGAACGTTTAAGTAGTATTTTTGAAAATTACAGGACACTTTTTGAGAATTAAATACTCTGTTGAAAGTGCATAAATAGGATGCTCCGGCACATTAGGTTGCCTCAGCGTATGAGGGCAAACAAATTTTTGCATACCCTCTATTTTTTTTATTTGACTCTAACAACTCAAAAATAAATACGTACTGTTGCGATCGGGAAAAGATAATCGGTGACCTTCGGCCAAACTTTGAAAGTTAATAGGGAAACCATGTATGCATTACAAAATCTAATTCTTAGTCGACAAATAAAACACTGCGTTATTTGTATCCTACATTTCTTAGACATTTATCATTAAAAAGAACATTATTTACTAAATGTTGTTTTCAAAGTTTTTTTGCAACCAGGATATACCTGCGTGTTGAAAGAATCATTATGTGGCCATGAAGTCATCAATTTTTAGTCGCCTGAACAAAGGTTTGCCTTTGATTGAAGCAAAGTCATCGACATTTTTCTCTGAAATGAAAAAACGAAGAATGTCTACCATCTAAACATACTGGTTTTGTCCGTCCGATCACAGACAGTTAACCATGGACAGATATTTTGTGCTTTTTGGCAGCTCATCAACATCGTCTAGGCGTGACCTCAGGTCAGGACAACGAACGAAAGGGTAGCAACTACCCTCTATCTGAGGATAAGTTCTGTCCAAACAAAAGACTGTCAGATGCCATAAATATATTTTCAGAACCGCAGTTTATGCTGGCTTATTTTAACAGTTAGCATATTATGTCGAAGCAATATAAGAAGACAAAGGAAAGTTTACTCGTCAGAGTTACCATAAAGTTGGCCAGACAGTTCTCGTTTCGATGGGATGAAGTGTTTACCGTGAGCTGATGGACTTCATTTGGCTGAATTAGCAACAATTTTTACTTCAGCTGCCTAGTCTACGTCGTCGTCAAACGGAGATCAGACGGAGACCTCATCTGTTAAATACCATAAATGTTGACAGAACTTTTGTAGAGCTGCCTTTAAAATGGTTTTGTCAATTCTTTCGTAAGCATAAAAAGCATAAATTTCACGTATGTTGACACGATGAACAGGCAGATATCTCACAGAGCTGCCATATCCTTATTAGAAAGTTTGAGCCGGGACTTTGTAACGATATTGTTAATGAATAATCTGGCTATCCATCGAGCTTAATGCATGGTGCCTGGCGGTCGAATCTTAAATTCTTTCTTTGCATCTCCGCCAGGGAATATTATTAAAAGTTCTATTCATTCTCGATAGTCGTCTCTAGCAACTTCTTTGGTCAATTCATGTCGATAAAATTCTAACAGCTTGTCAGTCCCTGAAATATTCAGGCGTGATAGCTTTTTAGTATGAATATTTATTTTCTCGTATTTCACACTTTTCCCGCTTGGGATAGGTTGGACATGAGCAAATTTACAGTTTTCTGGGAAGGTACCGGATTCATAAGATATCTGGAAGAGACGTGAAAGAACTGGAGCAAGCTCCGCTGCACACCTCTTCAGTACAATGGCAGGAATCAAGTTTGGACCAGAAGCTTTGTAGATGTCCAGCGACAAGAGCTCTCGTCTTACGGTCTTATGCCTGAATGTTACCTCCCGTATGGTGTAGGAAGCCCTTTGAATTGATGGCACATGGGCGTCGAGGGGGACGTCCATGGTGGAGTTGGCAACAAAGATCTTGGCTAGCACTTCTGCCTTGGCCTTTGACTCGAATACAATAGTTCTATCCTAACATATAAGTGGTGGAAGGGTACTGTGTGAGAAGTTCTTTTCTTGGTTATATTTGTTTCTGAACTTGACGTCGGCTTGTCTATTCTCTACAGTGGGGTTTTGTAAGAAGACTCTGTGTGCCTTGATATTTTGCCGTCGAGGTGTGTCACACGATTTGTTAAACCAGCTATTGAACCCTGGTTTAGACACTTTCACTGTGTGAGGAATGTATTCCTACATTCCAACGTGGATAATTTCGGTTATCGAAGAACAGACAGCCGACCCATCCGCGTCAGTGAAACAGACATCTCTCCAAGCAAAGCTAGATAAGAAGTCTCTGAGCCCGTCCCAGTTGACATGTCCGTAATGCCAAGTTTTGCGGCCTGTACGAGTTTCTGCTGCCACAGCGGGTTCTGACCGAAACCTGACCTCCACAACACCGTTGTCTGAATTACCCAGGGATGACAGGATTGCAGTACTGTAAGGGACAGGATGCGTGGTCAGAAAGAGATCCAGCAGGCTGCTGGCGTGTGACGAGACGCTGAGGAAAAAGGTAGGGCTCGTCACCAGCTCGGTCAGCCCTTGAGTAACAGCGAACGCTTCGACTGCACGACCTGCTGCATCAGTCTTGTTTGAGCCCAACCAAACCTCGTTATGGGCATTCAAGTCACCGAGAAGAACTACCGCTGAAGAGGGATGATTGATGTTCAGGGAGTCGATCTGGACGGCGAGGCATTCGAGTAGGTCATCCCAGTTATGGTCCGAGGGAGAGCGATAAAGGCAGCAGATACATTTGGGTGATGTTTTGGAGTTGAGGCGAAGCCACAGAATGTCCTTCAGACCTGATTCCAAAGAAACATCTCTGGAGTAGGAAAGACTGCTGCGGACAAAAGCCACAACTCCCCGTTCTTTCTCAGATTGGAGTGCACCTCGTAGTTTGGGAAGTTAAGATGGTTAATCGGTCAATGTTGCTGTTACTCCCGCAGATGTTCGAAAAACAAATTTTATTTTCGATGTTGTTCCCTCGAGCCCACCCTCCACCCAGACATTCCGAGAGTGGAGTGAGTTTACGTCCGGAGTTCTTAGCGCTCAGAGGGATCCATCATTATTAATTTCTTTGTTTTGGAAGATAGCCGACTGCATAGCTTAGGTGTGGAAACATGCGGACATTTATAAGACACCCTGGGAGAAGCTAGCGGGTGGTACCGCCTCGGTCTACTGGTCATTGTCTAGCAATTACTTTTTAAGTGTTAGTTATATTAAATAGACCTAAAGTATCCCGTTGGCGGACTTGTACCGCCACCCGGCAATCGATACAGAAGTATTCCTTAACGCATGTACCATCACTTGAATGGGAAGAAGTTGTATACTGGATACAACAACTTCGGAACAAGCATTTGCCACGGCCCCGCGCAGTAGGGTTTATATTTTCATACGTTTTAATAGCTGATAGATGTTCTTCTTTAGACTTGCGTGCCTTTAGAGGTGGCAACACCTCGCTTTAGAAATCAAGCTATATAGCTTCTGTGTGCTCCTATCGCTTTCCCGTACGAATTATTTGAATGCTTATAGGAAACTCGTCAGTACTGTGTCCAAGTGCCTCAGTGGTTGCTTCAGTAATGAAAATAGCATTATTTATACTTTGCCTATCTAATGCTGCCACTAATTTTGGAGTTATGAGACTTTTATCCGTGAAGAAATTGGATCCAAAAACTTATTTTTAGCTATGAAAAGCTCTAGTTTTATACTCCATACTGTTCCACTGTCCATTTTCTCACGCAGCACACTGACTACCATCGGGGTGCTCTGGGCTTATCTGACCAAAGAAATGTAGCAGTTAGGCGATACCAACTGTTCTTGCCAAATACACACGGATATACAATAATGTTTTTGCTTTTGGATCGACGATAGATTAAGTCCATGGTACCCTAGGACAGTAGTGGCGGTCCTGAAAGCTGCTGAGTTTTACTATATTAACTCAAGTAACTGACACTGCAAGGGAACACAGTTCTGTTGTACAGGGTGTTCATCTGAAAACACGGATTTATCGAAAACCACTGATTAAGACAAAACACCCCGAGACACGTCAAAGTATTTGTCAAGGGGGACAACTTTTTAACCACAAACTACTTGACCCTCTTTCACCCTCTGCCGCCCCGGGTTATCCCCTTAAACATTTTAAGTGACATGGTTATCGGGTAGTAGCTTGTTTTTGAGTAAATTAGAAAAATCCTTATTTATCTTAATTTGTTCAGATAGAAAACAAAAACACTCGAAAATATCAGTTTTTATTTCAATATGTGTTCAAAATGTTGTTCTTTATTGGCCAAATAATGATATAGGCGATGTCCAAATTCCTGACGGACATTTTCAAAAACATGTTGTGGGATATCATGGCAGCTTTTGATGATGCGTTGATGAAGTTCATCCAAACTTTCAGGGTTTGGGAGTAAACACAATAAAAATTCTAATGGCATCATATGAAGAGATGTAGCAGGCCATTCCATTTGGCCTATCCATCTATCTGAAAACTCGTCGTCTAGCCATTGCCAAACCGAAGGAACATAGTGAGGAGGAGCGCTGTCTTGCTGGAAAGATATTTAAGCGGATTGATGGTATTTTTCAACATATGGCATGAGGGTTTTCATTGCTCCAATTCCTGTATTTATGCTCATTAACAAATCCATTTAGATGAAGTGTGTATTCATCACTGAAGCAGATATTCTTTACATGAAGGGTATTATCATTAGTCGCTGCAGCCATTTGTTCACAAAAGTCAACTCGCCTATTGAAATCATCTTCGGTTGACTCTTGCAATATTTTCATTTTGAATGGATGAAATTTATGGAGTTTAGTAACTGTACAGAGCCTAATGAAATGCCAGTCGCAGCAACAATTTTGCTTAATGAAGTATTAGGATCTATTCGAAAATGACCCAAAACTTCAACTTAAGCGGCTTAATCCAAAACTCTCCGATGATCACGTCTTTTATTTGCAACGGATCCAGTTTGAGTAAATTTAGTAATATGGTCTAAAACATACCAATGTGAAGTTATCTTCCACGGATGTATGGCGTTAAACGTAACGGCAGATTGCCGAGCACATTGATTTTGGGCACCATAAATTAGAATCACTTCCAGTATTTCGGCTGGCATGTTAACCATTTTGGAAGTAAAATCTGAATCAATAAATTAATTTTCACCAGCCCAAGATTGTCACAAAGGTAACCAAGACCAAATTAAATTTCCCCTAGAAAAAAATAACTAAATATGTAAAACAATAAATACAGTTCGCTAATTCTATCTGAATTGAAGAAAAGAATGCGGAAAAGATTCGGGTTGTTATTTGGTTGTTGCCGCGTCTAATCTTCTGAATTGCTGTTTATGTTGATAGTAGAAATAAGGAATAAAATTTTCGTGTGTTTTTGTTTTCTATCTGAACAAAGTAAGATAAATACGGCGATTTTAAAAATCAAACGTAATAACAAAGAACTTCGAAAGACCTTCAAACAAGCTATTACTCGATACCCCTTGTCACTTAAAATTTTAAGAGAATGAGTCTGGGGGGGCGAGGTTGAACGGGGGTGAACTAGTTTTTGGTTAAGGAGTTGTCCTACTTGACAAATCTTTTGACGTCTCTCGGTGTTTTTTTAATCAGTGCATTTCGATAAGCCCGTGGTGGGAAGTTTCCAAATGAACACCCTCTACGAGTATGTCCGTAACTAGCTTATTCATTCTTATTGCCGCTATTCAGAACGTGGCTGTACTTATTACAATTCCGAATCCTTTGTTAATCAAGTGATTTTTTTCTAGCGGGATGCACAATGCTTAGGCCACCAGAAACCCTGACGGATACCTTCAGACAATGCTTAATCTCCCAACCATTGGGATTGGGACGATGTGTTGGAGTAGGAGCGATTCAAAGGTTACAAGCCTTAGACAGCAGTCCAGAATTTGACTTAATCGATGGTATTACGTTGAGCAGGGATGGTCAGGAGTTCAGGGATCTGCCAGTGTACAACTTTGCGGAGCGGGATCCAGCCAGCTTCAGGTAACCTCTTTAGTTGCTCCGGGAGCGAATTGCACAATGGCGAGAATTAAATTGATTGCCGCGCACGACGTGGACAAAAAAGGAGTCGTTGTCGGACTAAAAGCAAATAGAATTATAGTCAAGCGGAATCATGCAGCAACCCTCTGTTGTGCAGCAACTTCGTAAACATTCAAAGACACGTCTCGCACTGTGATCATAAATTAGTGCGAAGTTTCAGTAAGCGCAAAATTACACTCCAACAAAACCTGAATCAAAATCTGTTTCTAGTCTACCTCAAAATAAATCCGAGTCAGAAAGCATAGGTGTTTCCTCTTAAACTAATACACTTCTGTTTTTCTTTGCTTTTCTCCTTTTTTACTCTCTTTCCTTTTCTCTTTTTTATTCACACTGTCAAGTAGACAGTGACTAATGAGCAGAGGTTTTACGGACCGCCCAGATAAACAAATCACGAATAGTAGAAAAAAATTATATGTTGGCCTCGTTCGTAAATTAATCAGTTGCAGTACCCCCGATCGGGTCGAATTTCACACGTTATCCAAGCGAACAAAAGAGTGACGATCTTGTAACCTTGCCTCCACGTCCCGTCGCTGTTGCACCCTCTAGTGTTTACCGGGTTCACTGTCTATAGGCGGATGTTATTTACACGAGGCCCGCATGTACCATAATTAAGAAAGATCGTTACTTAAGGTAAGTTCGTTTAATCTAAATCGGTCGGAGTTGTTTGAAGTTAGCGCAGCAATGGTTATAGTTTACATTATCTTCTTATCCACAAAGCATGTATTTTCTTGCAAGGCTTGAAAAACTGCCTCAGTAAATACCTCTAAGAAAGCTCTACAAAAAAGCATTACTGCTCTGCCCTTCCTGGCTGATACCTGAGTAAGAGTGTCGGGTTTGTAAGAGAGCTGTACCCATCTGTATTAATAATTAATTGTTACAGAAGGGACTGCCTGTCGGGGTGGAAAACGGTAATATTCATCTGGGTTGTGACAAGTTTCTGTCAAACGTATCTCTATCTTGCTGTTTACACTAACTATATGTTTACTTTGATTTATAGACTTCCAGTAAAGTTAGCATAATTAGAGAATGTTCTGCCTGTTTCTGAGTAAGTTGTCCAAGATTAATGCCGTCATTTAGAAATTTACAAATTACGTTGGGAGGTATACAGTTTGAAGGATTAGGGCGCAGGTTCTACATACCCTTGTAGAGTCTTTCAGCTCAAGAATCTTTTCTGTGCCCTCCTCTGACAATACGGCCAAATGTAGCTCAAAAGGAGCTTATGAGGCTAAAAAGTTCGATACTAAAGTTAAGGTAGGTGTCCGCAACTATCGCTAGGTATAGAAACTTCCCTCCGGAATGCTGCCTCGTCTGAGGTTTTGTAAGGTAACTCCTGGTCATCAGTAAATAATGGGTGTGACGTATGAAATTTTGCGTTAGCTTGTGATGCAAACAGGTTTTACATCTAAAATTATCATTCTTTATCACCGTTAAGTGACCATTCTATTTCTGTTGAACGTGTTAAATATTCGGTATCTACTTTCCTATCGTCCACTGAACGCATGTATGTTGCTTGTCTGTCGCTATTTACGTTTTTTTATTAGTATGCACAATTTCAGATTCTGTATGCTGAACCCCACATTTATGCATGCCAATGCCATGGTGTTGTCTAAACATAAGTGTTGTTTTTGCCACAAAATATTTTCCATCCTGGACAGTAGTTAATAGTATGAGGTAGTTCATTTAGTGTTCTGTCCTATCCCAATCATTCAAATATACTTTCATTACTTATAAACGCAAGAATGAAAAATTAAATTTGATAGCTTTGCTTTTTACGGAGGGCAACTGCTGTAACCACTACTGGAAATATGGTAACAACGATAAGCAAATCTCCGTTTGTGTATCATTGGCTCCTTCCTTAAGATTCAAGTATTCAGCCAATTCAAAATTCTATGCCACCGAATATCTGATCACAGGACAACTGCTATGTATAAAGTTGTAAAAGGAATCTAGCTAATTTTTCACTTCTAGCGTTGGGCAAATATATACGTTTACAAGCTTCTGCATCTTGGGTCGTATTGTATAGTTAGCCATATTCACATGACTAGGGTGTTACGCTGATATCCAAATAGCAATGGTTGTTGTAGGATTCTAGAGGCCCTGTCGTTTCCTTTACGTTTTTCAGGCTTCTCGAGTACTTTTTCCCTTTAAAGAGGACAACATTTAGATGGGGTACAGGCAAATACCAATTGACTCTAAACTATGACAACATAGGCTTTATTAGCTAAGTAATTATCAGAGGGGCACGAATAGAGCCAAATGGCGTGTTATTATATCCATTTAACTTTTGCTTGGACTGATACTAGGAAATATATGGTGTAAGCGATGTACTGGTGCCAATTAAGACATTTAAGACCTAAAGTGGGAATGAAAAAATTATGTGTCCTCTAGTTTGGAATGCTTATCAGAATTAAATACGACTGTTATCTCATGTTGCGCTTTTGCTTAGCCGCCATCAGCTCTTACCTATGTTTGTCCAGGTTTTGGGAGAACTTCAGCTCATCCTCCAGGCCGTTTCCATGTAGAAATTAACAGTTTACTTGCATTGTGCCATCTTTTACGCGCATAAGTACTGTAGTTAGTCGTGTGCAATACTGTCATAATTATTGTAACGTTTGACATATAATACTATCATAAATACTCTAGCGAGGTGTCATAAACTCATAAAGTGCGATACTATACGGTAATTATTGTAGTGAGCTTTCGTAAGCACAAAATATATATAACATTTGTTGCGAACTGATTGCGACATCGACTATAGGAGTTTTCGACAATGGAAATAAATTAAAATTTCATGTTGACCGCATTTAGGAAATATTTGCTTCAAATATTTCAAAACATATACGGGTATGTATTTTACACTTTTCTCGTGGTTCTTGTTTTTATTTCTATCCTCACATTTCATAAGTTCTAGAGTGAGCTGTCGTAGGTTCGAGATTTTAACACTATCATGAATATTGTAGTGAGCTAATAAGTTCATTATGTGCAAGACTGTCATAAGGATTGTAACGAGCTGTCATGAGTTCATTGATGTGCAATACCGTCAGCGCTCTATTTTGAGGTTATGTCACAAATATCTATTAGCATTAAATTGTGCCTGTAATTTCCTACAATTTAAAAAGAAAACATATCTTCACAATAGGAGAGCGCTGACGCTGACACGGGATACGTGCCATCCAGAAATTTTTGAGGGAGAGAAAGGAGTATGACAATTAGGGAGGCCATAAACGCGCCCTATAATTGTAGGAACGACTGACGATACGGGCCTTAGGCTCGCAGTGTGAATGAATGAATTTTAAACTTCAAAAACATACCGCGCAGTGTCTTCTCTTCGACTACGTTTTCTTGGGTACAAAATCTGTAACTAATATAAAACGCATCAAGAGTACAATATTAGTTGCAGGTGACCATTTACAAACAACAAAGCTGTCAATGTCGATGGGACCTGAACAAGGTGAAGTATTTTGGTGTGTTTTGATAAAGGCGCTGTTGAGCGTGAGACAACTGACTTGAAATATAGACACCAATCTAATTTCCTTAGTCGTTTAAATGTTACAAATAATTCTCTTTCCTGCTTCCGTTCTCCTTTATCGCATTAAATCTACAATAAAATAACTAAGAAGCTCCATTAAGCTCGCTAAAAGGGGGATAAAATTGAATCAGTCCCACTCGGTACCAGTTGAGTGTTCTTAGAGAATTCCGACGAAAGGCAGTTACTTGAAGTTCATTCATATAAGGACCTAAAGAACGGCCGAGCATTCTCCACGGGAATTTCTGCACAAAGTAGCAGCTTAAGGGGTTAACACAATCAAGAGAGAGTTCTTTACGGAAACAATTCTGCCAAGACGCGCGACCAGGTATGTGTGAGAGTAAGTAAAACAAAAATTAGACAAGACGTCATTCCAAAATTTAAAGCACTTTCGAAGTGTCAAAGAAATGATTACTAGAAACATCTACATTTAGTTTACCCCTCTTCAAAAAATAAACAATTGTTAGTTACGTCTAACTACCAAATACATAAACAGCAAGAAGGTTCAGATCATCTGTTTGGCTGAACCTACGCATCCTGCTCTATTTATTCCATAACTTGAGAGATATTAAGAAAATTCGTTCATCGTTATTGTTGTTTATATGTACATCGAAAGTTGAACTGATTACTATTTTTAGCTTACTTTTTTTATATTAGTCTTATTTAAAGAGGTTTTTAATAATAATAAGTTGGAATAAATTATGTTTGTAAACCTTTAAGTACTTCCAGCTAAAAATTTAGTGAAGGTTTATGCTAACTTTTCTAGGTATTGTAAAATATAATCTTATATACTGTCATCTTTTTGCAGATGGTCGAATACAGTCATTTATCATTTTGGTATTTATCGTTTGAGTGGACTTAAAATACTGTCTAAACGCGTTCCTAGAGACAAACTAGTCGTCTCTGATTTTGACTTAATAGCTACAGAAAATTATTTGACATTCATCTGGACTCGAATGCAAGACTTACTTTGAACTAGTTTTCAAATCACCTTGAAATGTCCTCATAACCACTAACTGACTTCTGCTTCAGAGTTATTGGCCAAAAATACTTAATTGGCATGCCGTTGGGCTCAACTGCTTGGATTTTTTAAATGACCTTAACATGACCTTGAGATGACCTTCAAATACTCTAATAGTTAAAAACTAACTTCAGATTTGAAATCAGACACCCAAAAGATGCTGGTGTGCTGAAACAACAAATGCACTAGAAAAAGCATTTTTCACAGCTTCACCGTGTTCTAGACCACTGTGCCCTATGGTAAAGTGGATACGGGTCATAAAAGGTTCGGAACCTAATTCTATACAAAAATACGATATATCCTGAACAAAACAGTTACGAACGTTCCAAAATTCCGGAAAGTCTTCACGACGACACTCATATATGAGCATTACTTTTATCAGTTTGTAATTTTGCA